AGCCGCCCTTTGTTTGGTTTTCCTGATGCGTTCTCTGTCAAAACGGATTTTGACACGAGCAGGAACTGCGAAGCCGAAATTGCTGGTTCTGAACGCAGGCACGCACAGTGAAAACTGTCTTGGGGAAACGCTCCCCAGAGCCTGCCGGCCTTTATCAGCGCATGGAAATTAACTGATGGAGCTGATGCTTTTCGGTATCATCGGCGAACTTCTGGGCCTTGGGTGTAGGTCTGTAGAAAAATTGTCCTCCGGTTCCTAAACCACGGAGTTCCCCTTGTGTGGTGCTGGGAGGGCCGTGGGGTGAGGAACTCGGTGTAGTGAACCTGAGGGGAGACGAGCGGTGAGAGTGCAGGAGTTCAGTGTCTGATGAGGAAATGGCTGTGGTTTCTGGCCTTGCCTCCAGAGATCCCCTGTGCAGCGATACGGATGTAGGTGTTCAGATGGAAACGTAGTCGTGCTCTGTGGCCGTGCAGATGGATAACTATTCCGTGTTTATATAAGGTTTATAGGGATGGGTAATCAGTTACAAGAGCAGCCAGATAAGATTTCAGGCACTTGCATTGTTCTTCAGCTGGGGGTTTGGTGTTCGCATCCAGGTAGCCCCCCAAATTAAGCTTAAGTTACAGTTATCACGGGTACTGTGATTTGTCATGGTTTGTGTAGTATCCTGCTTTCTGTCTTAAGTACTGTATCATCTCAAGCTGAAACATGAAGCCAATCTGATACGCTGAGTTTATGTGCTTGGGGTCTGTCAGGAGTTGACAAGCTGTTAGGGTACAGGTGAAGAATTAGGATGATCGTTGCGAAAACAAATGGAAAACTTTATGCAAGTGAAGCGGGGCCGTGTCTGCCTGGTTCTGTGGTGGTCTCCAGTGCTGGCATCGAGGCCTGGTGATAAATGTTAAGCAAAGGCCAGGGCTTTTCTTCTCACCGTGAGTCCTCGGCGATTTGCGTGTTGCCGTTCTCCAGGTGAACGGTGGAGCCCAGGGCTTGACGTTTGTGCTCTTTGGAGTCGCTGTGTCGGTTTCTACAAGGCTGCTTGTGGGCTGGGATGTGTCTCTCGCTCTCACGCTTCCCTAAAGCAGTCCCACAGAAGCAGCTGCTTCAAAATAGGTTGGCACTATAGGATAGATCTGGGTTAAGAACATCCCACTGGATCTAAAGATTTCACTTTAGAAATAATGCACAGCACTCAAGAATCCTTCCTGCTTTTCTAAAGGATACAGTGAAGTAAGATTCAGCATCAGAGTTAAAAACAATAAATCTGCAGGAGGTGGTTAACGCTGGCTAAGGAACACTCCCAGTTTATGGATGCGTTTGCTGGATGCAGCGTTGCACGTTGCCCACCCTACGTTGTGGCAGGTACCGTGTGCTCTCTCTCCTTGACGTAACTGCTGCTAGCTGGGTTTTCTTCTCTCTTGCGCCTGTTGTGTGGAGTTCTCGTGTTCACAAATAGCGATCGTCCTGGTGAGAGGGCTTTCCCAGGTCTTCAGAATTTTGAGGAGAGTGCATGTGTGGAGGGAGCTTCTGCTCTGTAGAAACCCTGGTAAAGCGTATCTGGTGTCGGTTTGTTTGTTGAAGCCTGAAAGGGAAAATTGGGGTGAGGAGTAACAGTGCTAATTAATGAGGAAGCTGTTGATAAGAAATGGGATTTCAAGGTGCTGGACGTTGCCCTCTGGTGTAGGGCCCAGGTTTGTCTCTTTGCTGGGTGGAGAGGGTGGAGAGGTTTTTTAATACAAAAATGACTTGTGATTAGGCATGCGATCCCGTGGAGTTTCATGTTTACGAGGGCCTGTCGGGTCCTTGGGGGTCGTTAGTAACTCCCTGTGAGCTTTGCTGCTTTCACGTGTTGAAATTCAGGGGAATTCAGGTTATCTCCTTGTCTCACCGTTGCCATATGAAAAAAGGTTACTGTGCTCTTTCAAGCGCAGGGGACCATGCCCGTGTGTAACGTTCTGGTGTGGTGCTGTCTGTGTCACTGGCGGCTTAGGAAAAAGCAAGAGACACCTTTAAAAAAAAATTAAATCAAAATAATAACGCGGGTGATGATGGAGTGAGAGGAAGAATCTTGTGTTTGAACTCGTGGGTTCTGCAGTGGGTGAATGGCCGGTGCTGAGGCTGCTCTTACGTTTTCATTATCAGAGTGCTTTGAAGTTCTTTTTATTTTTTTTTTCCCCCCTTCTTCTCAGTTTTGGTTGCTGTGGTAAAAGACAAGGAAGTATTTCTCACCACAGTGAGAGAAACCGCAAAAGATTTCAGTTTCAGATTTTCTCCCCATCGGTGGTGTAGCTTCCTGGCTGAGGTGGAGAGAGTTCGCTGCGTATCAAGGGTGTTTAGAATGTTTATTTCTAACTATGCTGACATAATTTCTGTCAGTTCTTGGAGACAGAGTTTGTTTATTTTGAATGTGCTGCTTCTGGTTATGTTCTTGCTGCCTTTATTGGAGCATATTTATTTGTTTGCCTTTTAGCCTGCTACTATAAACAGAAGTAATGTACATGTGAGTATTAACTGTGTCTTGCGATGAGTGAGATCCCGTCTCTATCCTGAGGGTCCCTGGTGAGGGCCAGCTCTGCCCCTGTGCGTCTTTGTAACTGGGCATCAGAAGGACTTGTCACCTACGCGCCGCGTCTTGGTTTTTGCTCCCAGTAGTGAAGTGAGCTGGGCCACTGTATTAAAAAGAGCTGTCTTTTATAGATAGAAATATTTTGCATATCCATAGCAGATTTTAGGAGATTGAACAGAAGTGCTCAACGGGAGTGCCCAGGGAACGTGCTCAGGCTGTTGCGGGTGGGATAAGCTGTGAGGGTACCCGATCACACGCAAGGCTTGACCCGCGTCACCCCACTGGGCGCGCATGGACTGGGAGCCCATAATTCCAGGGGGATCGTGAATTTAATGAGGCTGTGTAACGGCATGGGTACGTGATCTGATGATGTTTTCCCCTCTTGCTTACCGTGCTGGGAGGTTCCCACCATCCTTTTGTATCGTCTGCTGCCCCTCACGCATTAAATGACACTTTTCTGGGGCCATAAAGGCAGCAGAGGGAGGGTCAGCATGCAGGGCGGACGTGCCAGGCACTGGTGCCAGAGGCAGCGCCCTCCTGCCTGCCCAGGGCCCGTCTCTGGACATAACCTGTGTCACCGGGAGCTGTGGCCTGGACAGATCCCTCTCTTCTCCCAGCCAGCCGCTGTCTTGAGCTCTGAATATCCAAAGGCTGTGTTAGCGGTATCTTGCCACAACGATGGTTATAATTTCAGTCCTTAAGAGCGAACGTTGTGTTTGCACAGTGGTTTGGGATCCTCAGCAGAGACACTGGCCTGTCCATGTCAGATGGATGAGCAAGTAGTTTCTTGAGCTACTCTCCTTTAGAGTGGATTTTTCTGTTGTGTTCAGTTCTCTTTTGTGACAACACACACAGTCCATAAGATAAAGAGCATTTTGTGCCAAATTTACAGCGAAGGAAGATTCGCTCTTTACCGTGCAAGCAGGCTTCCCCCGGCCCACTCACTATCATCTCAGCTTGCAGCACTTGGCAGCTCCAGAGCGCATCTGGGCGCTCTGTGGCTGGTGCTGCGACCGTAGCATCGAGCGGGAGTACCTGGGAACAGGTCAGGTGTGACGGACCAGGGCCTTTTGACGCAGGACGCGTGGGAGTGGCTGTAACGTGAGAGTGGAGCAGTGCCGTAGCTGCTTTTGAAGGCTGCTGTAAAGGACAAGATGTCTCCCTTCTGTGCCGTTCGGCTCATAGCAGGGATGCGCCTGACCATCCGAAGTGTCGTTTAATATTCTGGAAAGTGGCTAAGGACGTGGTTGGAAGCAGTGGTTGCTTTGGTATAGTAATGGGAACTTTGGGGTGTGATGTGATTAGCGCCAGCTTGTTTTCTTCTGTAGCAAACCTCGCCTGAGATGGCTCCTAATGCTCTCTCCGTTGCATTCTGTAGGCACTGGGGAGAGTGGAAAAAGCACGTTCATTAAGCAGATGCGTATCATTCATGGCTCGGGCTACTCTGAAGAGGACAAAAAAGGCTTCACCAAGCTGGTGTACCAAAACATCTTCACTGCCATGCAGTCTATGATCAGGGCCATGGAAACCCTGAAGATTCTGTACAAATACGAACAGAACAAGGTAAGTTTTTGACAATTTTTGCATGTGTTTTTAGGCAATGGGGATTCTAGGGTTTGATTCCAAAGTTCCTGTTTGTTTGTGTCCTTCTGCATTGCAATCTCAACCTCCTTGAACTCTT